ATTGATACAGTCAGCAGTGGTTCAGGGAAATCAGTGTGGTGAAATGAGGCAAGGTCTTAGATTTGCTTCCTGGTCACTAATGTCTGTCACTTGGAGGAAGTCACCCCTGTGTATGTTATTTAGAAGATGGGAACAAGGGTCTTTCTCTAACAAGTCTTAATGTGTGTGTGTATGCGTGTGCATGCAACTTGCTTGTGCATACACTGGTCCTGGGGCTTGAATTCAGCCGTTGGGCACTGTCCCTGAGCTTTTGTGTTCAGAGCTACCACTTTATCATTTGAGCCACAGTCTACGTCTGGCATTTTTAGTGCTTAATGGGAGACTAGTTGTCACAGACTTTCCTCAACTCTGATGTTCTAATCTCAGCCTCCTTCATAGCTAAGATTATAAGGCATAAGCCACAGGCCCTCAGTTTGTTAAGCTTTTTAAAATGATTTAATATACTCTACAATGTGAATGGAATAAAACATATTTATTAGATGTGATTACATGTGCTGAGGTACACACACACACACACACACACACACACACACACGCACGCACGCACGCACGCACACACACACACACACACACACACACACCCTATTTCTGGCAGCCACCTTGGAAAATGAATCAGGTATTTGGGTCTATTCTAGACTAGTAAAAGCCAAAGCTCTGAGAGTATAGGCCTTAACTCAGAATCATATGCATAGTTGATTCTCACTTAATGGTGAGAGCAGAACTGGACCCAAGTCTGCCAGTCAGTGGCCTACCACCCTAATGAGCTACAAGAGAGAGAGGCCCTTGCAAGGCTTAAGACAGTCTCCAGCTGATATGTCAAGCATTATTTAGTACAATTACCTTCCAGATTTCTCCCAGCATGTTCTAGAATATCATCATTCTTTATGAATAACATTACTTGAGAAAGATTGGAATGCTCCAGACTAGACTTGGATACTTGGTGACCTGGGTGCCCAGAAGAGAAAATAAAGAGCTCCACAAGCCATACTTGCCATTGAAGAAAACACTTAATCACAGATAGTGAGTTTATTCATCTTATTTATTTTACAGTTCTACCATGTTTGCATCTAGGAGTTTGGTGCATGCATTCATAGATAAGCACTTTTCTTTAATAACCAGTGATCTTTAGTTCTCTCTAACGTGCAGGTGGTCAATAGTTATCGTACACTCCCTCTCTCAAATCCAGGCTTGCGAAATGCACTCCACAAATGGCTGGTGGGTGATTTGCCTAAGCTAAGCTTCATAGTGGGTCCCCACTGCCTGCTTGCATGGAAAGAGTGAAAAGAAACCTAGTAGGTTTTCGGGGGAAAAGAATAGAAAGCAGATTGAGGATACCCAAGGGATGGATGCCATTGAGGTCTGTAATCAAGTTTTTGTATTTCTGACTTCCACAATAAGTAATCATAGCAATAATAATGAATATTTTTAGCCTATGGAGAGGGGTCTCATTGTCCCCCTCTGAAATATGCATCAGGCCTGTCAGTCATCTTTGGGCTTTGTTTAGAGTCTCAGTCATTGGACTAGAAAGAAATTACTTAACTGTCATTTAAGAGGGTGCCATTTGCAATGGTGTTAATTCCACTTGGATCAGCTCACCCCTGTTGTGTGCATGAGCCTTGGACACTTTGGATAAGTTTTTTTCCCCTTGGCTGAGAGTTGATGCTGAAGGAAGTGGTGATCACACCCAGTGGTCCTGGCTAACTGTCCTCAGGCCAATGGGAGTTCACATCTGCCTCAGTTCAGATAGGCACTGGCCTCTTTCCAAAAACCAGATAGATAAAGAACATCAGAAAAGCAATGAGCTATGAGTGGGAACTCTTGGAGGTTACCAAGATTGCTCCATTATGAAGTTCCTATAGGAACTCCATAGGACGGTGGTTTCTGGTACTGGTCTGTGACTTGCTGCTGGGCTGGCTGCTGGCTACTTAAGAGCCATGAATGGATCTTACAAAATACAGATTTGATGGAAGAGAGTAGGAGCTGAGAATGGATATTTTTCTAAAGTCCATACTAGTTTGGAAACACAGACACACAGACAGAATGGTTTCCTGTAATTTTTCAGTACAGTTAAAACACATAATATTTGTCTGAAATTGGCTTCTCTTGTTCAACATGATGATCTCCAGTTTCATTCATTTTCCTGTAGACAACAATTTCATTGTTTTTATAATGCTTCATTGTCATATAGCTTTTATTCATTCATTGATGTTTTACTGATTTCATTGCTTGCTATAGTGATTGTTATAGAGAGATGTTAAAAGGGAAGAGGGAAAAGAGAAAGCAATGAGAAGTGAAAATAATCAGAGTACATTATAGCTGCATGAAAATAGCATACTGAAAACCACTAATACTATTTGTAAGAGGGGAAAAAGAGAGGACAAAGAAAGACAAGAGGTGATTTTTTTTCTTATTTTCATTTTTTAAACTTCTTTTGGTTGCACAAGTATGTTGCAATATAACATGTCCACTTATGTATCCAATGCTTCTTAATCAGATTCATCGAAGAGGTGAATATGATCAAAGTACATTATATGTTAGCATGGAAATGTTATATTGAAATCTCTTTGTATACATTATACTAATAAAAATCATTCAAAGCAGAACAAGACTTTAAATAATAGTAGATGCTTTCTTTTTTTCCTGCACTATACTAGGGCTTGAACTCAGGACCATGTGCTTGCTTAGCTTGCTTTTTTCAGCTGGTGCTCTACCACTTGAACAACACTTCTGGCCCCATTTTTTGCTACTTATTCTGGAGACAAAATTTGTAGGGCTTTTCTACCCCAGCTTGTCTTGAACTTTAATCCTCAGATCTTCTTCTCCTGAGTTGCTAGGATTTTAAGTATGAACCATAGGTGTATCTTGTCTATTTCCATTCTTAAAAATCAAATTTTAGCCAGGCTTTAGTGACTTATGCTTGAAATCCTAGCTATTGTGGAGTCAGAGAAGAGTAGGAACACAATTTGATGCCAGCCTGACAGAATGATTCCCAAGAGCCCTGTATTTTTTTTTTTAAAGAAATCCTCTCCCTTGAGAATATGGCATGATGAAATTCTTATTATCATGCAATCCTTTGAGAGCAACAAAAACTAAGGGGTAATTTCCTCTATCCCACATGGGCCCTGCCTCCACCACCACCATTTTCTGACTCTGTTCACATCCATTTATTTCTGATGAAGAAGTCTGCTGTGCATGGGGCTTCCTTCTTCATAAAAGTATGCCTCTTGGAAAGCTATATTCTTAAACAGCAGTCAGGGAAGGTATGTGAAAGGAATGGTGGTGTTGACTGGTTCTGACTATGAAGTCTTCTGATCCCTTGAACACTGCAGTCAAACCAAAATAGTGCCATCCAGAGTGGCCTTTTCTACACAGACTGTCACTGCTCTAATTATTACTCTTCACTGGGTCTCAGTGTAATTTCATCCAAACCGAAGTGATTACCAAGCACAGCATCAGCAGCCTCCCTGCCTCCGCAGCCTCGACTCATGCTCCTTTCCTTGTTGAACCCCAAACTCCTCCACATTGGCCTCTCTCAGTTTTCAAAGAAGCAAAATTTGTTCCTACCTCAGGGCTCTGCAGCTGCCATTTCTTCTGGGTGCACTTGTACACCTCCACCCCCACAGAAATGGCTTTGCCCTGAAAAGATCCTTTGTGGCTCCTGTATGACAATCATCTTCTCTTTCTCCTATACTCTGACACACAGTACAAGTTTACATGGTTTTGTTTTGTTTCCTCCCTCTTCCTCTCACTCCTTCCCTTCCCTTGCCTTCCCTTCCCTTCTGTTGCCTTCCCTTCCCTTCCCTTCCCTCCCCTCCCCTCCCCTCCCCTCCCCTCCCCTCTCCTCTCTTCTCCTTTCTGTTCCTTCCTTGTAAATACTGAATCATTGGTTGTTGCATTAGTGGATGGATGGAGACCATAATGTGCCTAGTTTTGCTACCCACTGTAGCTGGATGACAGTGAATCCAAGTGTTCTCACTGAGATGGAGTTTTAAGCATTTTTCTGCCCAAGTTGGCCTCCAACTGCTATATTCCTAATTCAGATATTCTATGTAGCTAGAACATACCATCTAGCAGAAGGAATGTGTGAGAAAGAGTCTTGTGAACTTTTTTTGCCCAGGCTGGTTCAAACCTTGGTTTTTCTAATCTCAGCCTTTGACAAAGGTAGGATTAGGAACTACTGTGCCTAGCCAGTCTGCCTCTTTATTTGTGCAGTAGCTCCACTGAGCTAGGATCTTGAAAATATTTTTCTCTCCCCAAACTCTACAAGACTTCATCTTTCAAGGCATTAATGGGTCCCCTAGTCCAAGCCCCATTCATTTAATGAAATCTGTGATCTTTAGAACAGACACTGATTTGCTCCTCTTGTGGCATATACAACATACATATTTTTTGTTAACAACCTTGGGGTAGATTTTCATTGTTTCCAGTTAAATCCATCATCAAAATTTCATCTGTTAAAATTTCTTGAAAAGCTCTTTTTTCTCTTAATTAAAGCAATGAAGAAATGCATTTAGCAAATATGAGAAGTATTGAGTATAATAGTAATACATGAACCTGAATAATTTCTCACCCTGATTTACATTTTATAGTTTGTCTTTTTTTTCCATCTGGTGATTTGCTTACACATTTTGCAACTTTGTGTAGGTACATTATATAATATATACTACATATATATTTTACATGTTACATATATATCCTAAATGTATTAACTTAATATGAGCTATTAACTTAATATGAGCTAAACATATTATTCTTATAAAAGCCTGTGCCTATGATAGATTGCAGAAGTAAGAAGTGAAACAGTGTACTTATTTGAATTAAGGACAAAGGTATCTGCATTTTTAACAAATGCAACTGGTTCCTATGCCAAGTGCATGAAGCACGTAGTTGTCTTTATTAATGTGTCTGTGCTAGATATGAACAGCAGAAAGCTTGGCTGCACCTTGGTTGGTCATTCTTCTCTACGCGTGACCGTAATTCCTGTTTTCTTTCTTTTCCAGAGTGACCGTCTCCTCATCAAGGGAGGCAGAATCGTCAACGATGACCAGTCCTTTTATGCTGATATTTACATGGAGGATGGCTTGATAAAGTATGTATTTGGAACCTTTCTCTTTCCTGTTTTTACTTCTTCTACATTAGGGATCTAGAGAGAAGCCTGGATTATGTGAAAGAAGTGGAAAGCCTGAACTCAGTCAAGAGAATGATGCTGAGGCCCCTTTGTGCCAGCGTATTGATGGCCTTTCCATGCTGACCTTAAGGATATTGACAAACATACACAAATTACAGTACCATAAAAACAACAAGATGTGTCAAAGGTATCAAAAGAGTTGAAAACAGGATAGAAAGAAAGCCATTTACAAGTAAGGCTTAGAATAGAAAAGGTATTTAAAATGGACCTTGGAAAAAGGGTAAGGACTCAGAAGGACAGGGCAAGATCAGACACGCATGGTCTCCAAACAGATCCACCAGGGATGCATGATTTCTTTATGAAATGGCTTGCCTCTAAGAAACACTGATGGTTACTTACATAGTGAATCTCAAGAGAGGATTCGTTTCACAGAGTTTCTAAAATCATGTATAACAAGATGCACCATCACATAGATAAAATGGCTTGGGATCTGGGGTATCTAATGCATCCTCTTAACCCTCTGGGCAGTCATGGTTTGATTTTAATATTGTTCAGCTTCATTGGCTATTTTGAGATTCTAGCTATAAAAATTTCTTTTTGCTTATATTGGAAAACATGGCTAACATATAATTTTCTATAGGCATATGTTCTTTATAGGGTCCCAAGTATCCCCATTCATGTTCTCAGAATATTGTGTACAGCCATTCTGATACAGCTAGCCCCCTTTGAGAACAAGGACCATATCTTCTGCCTCTCCGTATCCCTAACACATAACACACATGGATTTGATAAGAGCTATCTTTCACTGAGTGCATGCCAGACATTGTATTAAACATTTCCATGCTTTATCTCAATTAATCTCCCAGCAACCTTGTGAAATATGTAGTACTCTTACTCTCTTTTCTCAGATGAGGTGGAGGAGACACACAAAGAATAGAGAAATTAGTAATGGTGAGCATGTGAAATGAAGAATGAATGAATGAGCAAATTTAAGAGCACAGATATTCCTTCATAGCTTTCTTGCCAATTTACATCATTATTTTTCCATATCAATAGTAGGAGAAATAAAAATAATAAGTCAAACCATATAATACAATAATTTATTCAAGCCACAATGGTATGTATACTTTTCTATGGCTGAAAGTGCTTATATCTCATTGGAAATATAAGTTCCTTCACTTAGAGACTTTAAATTTAAAGTACCTATTGCTTCCTTTTAGTTCCTGAGCTCATGATAGTCACCACTGTTGAGCACAGAACTGGTGTTGTCATCAATGCAGGGTCCATCTCACATAGAGCTCCAGCCAGGCAGCCACTCACAGTAGAGTATATGAGATGAATCTTTTTGCCATGCTTATTAGAAGGACTGGAAGTTTGTGTGCCAAGAATGTTATAGACAACAATTTCCATCCATTTTCTCTACTGATGGTGCAGAGAAAGTTGGGTAAACATGATTGTCACCAAATCCTCATGTTTTATGTATGTTCTCAACTCACAGAGCATTAAAACAGAAACACCTCCTCCAATTATTCCACAAGTTGGCTTGTCTATGCATACTTACAAAGTGCTTTCTATGTTGAAGGAGCTCTCTAAGGCATCAGGCACTGCCTAAGTCATCTTGCTTTCTTCCCTGAGGGAACTTCCAGTCTCTTAGAAGAATGAAGGTGTCTGTTTATGTACAAAGGGCCTGATGTTATCCAAGCATAGCGATAGGTTAAATTCAGAGGAGGGAGAGGACTGGTTATTAATTATTGTAACAGTTGTTGTTTATTGAATACTAATGTGCCTAGCAATATTCTGTGGGTTTAACATAGGTTAACATGTGATCTACACAAGTCTATAGAGGAGCACTTATTACATTTCACAGATGAAAGCATTGAGGGCTGTTGAGGTGAGGTAAGTGGGTATAGTCATATGGGAAGTGACAGCAGAGCCAAAGTTGTTCATGTAGGTAGCTTAAATGCCTAGAACGACTGCACTCTTCAGTACTGGACGTGGCTGCCAGCAGCAGGGTAATGAAGGGAGGAGATGGAATGTGACTCTTCAAGCCTGAAGGGTTGAGGTGGCCTCGATGGGGGTGGAGAAGAAAAGGGAAAAGCATTTCTTTTTCAGACTTGGTGCTTAGGCCAGTTTTCAGCACAAAGGAAGCATGTATTCTGCCTAGCATTTCTCCATGGCGTTGGTTCTCCACTTCTCTTAGAGGAAAAACAGCAAAAGTTTAAAAAAAAATTCTGAACAGATCTGGCCAGTATCTGGAGAGTTGGCCAGAATAGAGTTCCGATCAGCAGCTATATTTTCTCCACAGCATGTTTTGAATAGTGGTATCCTGGAATGGTTCTGTGGTGATGTGGTGAAGTTGAACTCTTTGAGATGTCAGTTTCGTTTCCGAACTTAAGAGTTCAGGAGGCCTGTGGTAGACTTTTTATTTCTCCAAGAGAAATCGTTCTGCCTGACTGCATACAGGAGGAGAAAATACCTATACCACTGGCAGTAGGAGATATGTAGAAGTGCATATGAAATCCATGAAGACAGGATGATGAGCTATTTAAAGTAGAGAGATGAAATCACCTAAAAATAAAGGGGCTTTGGGTGAGCTGTAAGTAACATCATTCAGGGGAAATTGAATATTTCTTTGGGAGGTCTGCCTTTGAGATATTTGTTGGCTGGCTTCTCTTCTAAGCTGCCCCTAACTCCCTTGAAGGGCTCAGAAACTTCCAGTGTATTGAGGAGTTTATCATCATCACCACTCATTACTTGAAGCTTCTCCTGAGATGCTGACCACATGAGAAACAGATGCCAAAGGCATCTTCACCTTTCCTTTCTCCTTGCAAATCTGCTGTGAGACATGGCTGACTGATAAACTTGGGGGAGGGGGGAATTGGGAGTGAAGACTGAAGTGGAAATTGTCCCAGAGTGCTTTTGTTAGGAGAGTGAATGATCTGCTTTAATAATGATTATTATTATTATTTGTGTGTGTGTGTGTGTGTGTGTATGTGCTGGTCCTAGGGCTTGAACTCAGAGCCTGGGTGCCGTTTGTATGTTTTATTTTGTTTTTCCTTAAGGCTAGCACCTTACCACTTGAGCCACAGCTCCACTTCTAGCTGTTTTGGGTGGTTAACTAGAAATAAGAGTCTCACAGACTTTCCTACCCAGGCTGGCTTCAAGCTACAATCCTCAGATCTCAGCTTCCTGAGTAGCTAGGATTACAGGTGTGAGCCACTGGTACCTAGAAATTAAAAACATAATTAAACACACACACTATATTGTAGACATCTTCAAACCACAGGTTATACTAGGAAGCCAGGACCCACATCCCGTATAAGAGCATTTTGCATCAATACAAACATCCATACATGTACCTATTTTGTTGGTAGTGGTTTTAGGGCTTGAACTCAGGGCCTGGGCACTATCCCTGAGATTTTGGAGCCTCTTTGTGCTCAAGGCTAGTGCTCTACCCCTTGAGCCACAGCCCCACTTCTGATTTTTGAGTGGCTAATTGGAGATAAGAATTTCATTAAGACTTTTCTTCCTGGGCTAGCTTTGAACCATGATCCTCAGATCTCAGCCTCCTGAGTAGCTAGTATTATAGGCATGAGCCATCGGTGCCCAGCATACACATACCTTTGTTTAAAGATTGAAGGACATGTGAGTACATTGAGGACATTGTAGAATACCTTAAATATTGCCATGTTTGAAACCCTTATAATACTATATTTGCCTTGAAGTTATTCTTTCTGATTGTCAGCTCTTTCATTGTCTCACCAGGCAAATTGGAGACAACCTGATTGTCCCTGGAGGTGTGAAGACCATAGAGGCCAATGGGAAGATGGTGATTCCTGGAGGCATTGATGTGCACACTCATTTCCAGATGCCCTACAAGGGGATGACCACAGTGGATGACTTCTTCCAGGGCACAAAGGCTGCCCTCGCGGGTGGCACTACCATGATCAGTAAGTCCTCAGGCCTTACACACCCCTGATGCACAGAGTGCATGACCACCATGCCAACCTCAGTGGTGTCAGTGTTACCTTGTATACTTCTCTCATCTTTCTGATAAGATCTCTGAAAAAGCAGGTGGTTCTGAGGAAGTGGATTGCTCCTGGCAGCTGCATGGAGGACATTCACAAGGCTTGTAGCCAGGAAAGCAGCCAAGAGAGAAACAAAAAGTCACGGAGGATAATAATGGAGGCTTGTGGTCCTTAGGAAATTAGTGGGGCTAATGTAAATTGGTGCTATTTGGTTTGCCCTGTATTCTGACCAATTTGTATCTTGAAGATTAGGCAATCTGTGAGAGTGGTTTGTTCTTAATTTTTTTTTAACATTTGTTTTGTTTCTGGTAACTTGTAATTCCAGAGAAACCTAAGATGTTGCATGCAGTTGGATTTCTGACCCATTAGCATTCCAGAGCAGTCTTTTCAGTCCTGGAGGAATCTCAATGGATTGAGTCCTAGTCCAACTCTGGCCTCAAGCTTGGTTAGTTAGAGCACTGTTTATTTAACACACACACACACACACACACACATATTAAGAGAGAGACAAAGAGAGAAGAGCCTGGGCCATATAATTCCTGTCTTGTCTTTCCTTTTGACTGGAGCATTAGCAGGATTTAAGCTTCAGCTAGGTGGCTGCAAAAGGCCCGGTAAACTGTATGAAGGCCATGAAAGGTGTAGTCTGGGGAAGCCAAAGCTTTTCTCCAGCTAATAGAAGGAAGCCAGCTGACTTCTCAACAACTGCCATTTTGTTCTGTGGCCTCCTGTGTTTGCATTCCCATAGGTGCACTTGAGGTGTCCTTGACAGAAAGAAGCTGAGGAAATCGATGACCTTGGCTAGGCTGGTTGCCATCTGGGATGGGTATAGATTCCTTGAGATGCATGCTGTGCTTGGTGTTGTGGGTTGAGCAGGAGAAAGCAGAGATCCAGTGACAAGAAGGGGTCACAGTAGTGTTTGTGTCCTTGGCATATAATTTAAGAATTCCAGATACTCAAAAAGAAGTGAAGCCTTGCAGTCCCACATCACTGATATTTTTCCATCTTGAAGAAGGATTATAATATTTGTTCTCTTTGGATATCTTTTCTCTGACTAAACTATATGCCATGGATATCTTTTCTCTGATTTATTTTTATCTTACCACCTTCCAAACAGATTCCTAGTGGTTGTTTTTGTTTGTTTGTGTTTGTTCCAATACTGAGACTTGAACTCAGAGTGAGGGCATTCTCTTTAGCTTTGTCACTCAAGGCTAGCACTCTGTCACTTGAGTCACACCTCAAGTGGACTTTGCTGCCTAGGCTGGCTGCAAACTGCTAGTCCTCATATCTCAGCCTCCTGAGTTAGAAGGATTATAGGTGTGAGCCATTGGCACCTGATTATTTAGTCATTGTTTTATGAAGACATCACAGCTTACATATTTAACCAATTTCTCTGTTATTATTGAGTTAGATATGGAACATGTTTTTGTTTGTTTTTCTACTGGTACAGGAGTTTGAACTAAGGACTTCATACTTGTTTTCTTAACTGACACTACTGCTTGAGCTAGTGCAAGCTTATCTGTAGTCTGATTTTTGTTGTTGTTGTTGTAGAGCTTACACTCAAGGCCTGGGCCCTGTCCTTGAGCTTTATCACCATACGCTAATGCTCTACCACTTTGAGCCACAGAGGCACTTCCAGTTTTCTGGGGGTTAATTGTAAATGAGAGTCTCATGGACTTTTCTGCGTGGGCTGTCTTGGAACAATGACCCTCAGATCTCAGCCTCCTGAGTTGCTAGGATTACAGGCGTGAGCCACCAGCGCCTGGCTAGTCTGACATTTTGCAGGTTATTTGGGAAATGGAGTTTCACAGACTTTATACCCAAGCTGGCTTTGAATCACGATCCTCCAGGTTTCAGCCACCTGAGCAGCTAGGTTTACAGACATGAACTATTAATGTTTTTAATATAAATTTCAAAGTTTTTCTCAGGTAAGTCACCTCAACTCATGTTTTGTCTTAGCTATTTAGAAAGCACTATAGGAGGGTAACTTTTGCTTTATGATTCCTAACTATAGATGTGATTATTTTTAAAATATTATCCTCAGTAACAAGAGACACAATATGTTTAGGCCTTAGAGCAACCCGATTCTTGCCAGAAAGCTCACATGGCACTGAAATCTTTGTCCTGGGTGTCAGATTCAGTTACCTGGTGTCAGCTTTTTCTGAATCATTATGCAGTAGAACTCCAGTCTCCTCTGCCTGGCATAGCTATAAACTGCTTTATCCTCCTTGGGAAGAGAGACCAACTATTACCATAAGCAGTGACTCAACCCTAGTAATAGCTATGCCTACCAGGTCACTGATGGCTGACAACTTCTGTGCACAGACTGTATGCCAGCCATCAGGGATAGCTTTTTATGTGCATTCCCTCATGAATCTTGCAGCCAACAGATCACACCCTGCTTGGCACCTGCTTTTAGGAGAGGGAACTGAGGCTTAGAGAAACCAGTGATGTGTCCCAAATCCCATAGCCGAGAGGACATGTAAATCCTCAGTGCCCGTCAGCGACGGGTTTAATTTCCTGCTCAGAACACAGAGAGCGTGCAGCCATAGCCAAGCAAGCAGGAGCAGGCCTGGGTAGGGGAACGAAGCCGTGTCTCAGTCATCCATCTCTGCCTCTTCCCTGCAGTTGATCACGTGGTGCCCGAGCCTGAGTCCAGCCTGACCGAAGCCTATGAGAAGTGGCGCGAGTGGGCTGACGGCAAGAGCTGCTGCGACTACGCCTTGCACGTGGACATCACCCACTGGAATGACAGCGTCAAGCAGGAAGTGCAGAGCCTCATCAAGGACAAAGGTGAGCATCTGCTCCCCCAACCTTGTTTCTCCTTGCCTGTCCACCACACCATCAGCTCCCCTTTCAGCTTCCCCTCCCCCGACCTGTTTTTGTTTCTTTCTTGGTTTTGTTTCTGAGACAGGGTCAAAATGTGGAGCCCACGCTAGTTTCCAACTCATGATCTTCCAAGCCTCAGTCTCCCATGGCTGGGATTGCAAGTGTGAGTCACTGCGTCCAGCTTGAATCATTTCCCCTGGTGTATAGTCTGAAACTTGAAGTGTTAGGGGTTTCATTTCATTCCAGGCACTTCATGTATGCAAACTGACTGGCCTTCTTACAGGATCCTCAGGAGACAGCAATGGTTAGTCATACTATGCAGATGAGACTCGGAGGGTCAGAATAAGCCCAAGCAGAGTCACTTGGCAGCAGATCTGTCCAATGCTAGTGTATTTTGCTGGTGCACAGTACGGCCCATTTGACAGAGGAAGAAGCTTAGGTTAGGAAAAGTTAACTTTTCATAGGTACAGTAACATGGCTGGCAACGTGAGATTAGAAATTTCTGATTCCTGACTTTCTTACTTCTGAAATCAAACCATTACTGTTTCTTTTCATAACAAAAGGCATCCTTAGCAAAGACTCAGACATTCCCAGGAGCAAAGGTGTATTGGTACCCAGGCCTGCAGATCAGGATGTGAAAATGAGTGACTTTATGGGGTAGAGGCCTCTTGTTAAGAGCATGATTTCTGCCCCATTATCTTCTTAGATTTGCCTGTTCTCTAGCCCTTTCTTTGTTCCAATCACATACTCCCTTAGCCCATACCCCCTCTTTCCCTATGCATGCAATATTTGTACCCTGTGCTCTACACTGTAATGGTCCCTGGGGACTGAGTCTGTTGGGTGTCTCAGGTAAAAGGAAGCTGTCCCAAGAAGAGCAGCAGAATGAATGTCACAGCTGAAAAGAGCTGTTATCTAGCAGTCTAGACTAAATGCTTGGGGAATCTGCCCAGCAGTGAGTTGCCTGGGCCAGAGGGGAAAGGCTGGTCCCCCGCAGGATGTGTTTGGCTTTCCATACCCCACAAGCCCTGACGGATCATTGCTTACCTGGAATATGAGATAAGATGCTTCTCTTCTGCATCTCCTTTAACTGGGGACATCTCAAATGGGGTGGAAAATTGAATGGTTTTCACAGCCACGTAGAGCCTGGGTCATTCCAGGGATGACAAAGAGGCTTTTGGGAAGAAGTGGGGGGAAACTGCCCTGAGTTGAACCACTCACTCTGGGTAGAAATGGTTTCAAATTATAATGCACTTCTGGCCTGGAACATTGTGGGCTGAGATGGCTCTAATGGTTGGAGACCAAAATTGTCTTCTTTTCCTCAAAATGATTCCATTCCCCGGTCCCACCTATTTATTTTGGGTGAAAATTAAATAGCTCTATTCTCATAAACCCTGATGGTTTAGGTATTTAAGTATAAGCAGAATAATTTTATTTAAATGGAAGAAGCATTCTTTAAACAGCATGTAGAGTTTGGTGCCCTTTTATTACAAAAATCGTAAAAAAGATTGCTGGGTTAATATGCCCAAATATGACTTTGGACTAAAGTTAAACTGAACAAATGCTAGAGAATGATAGGAAAGATAGTTTATTTACTACAATGATGATATATGTAGTCAAAAGTACAGATTCAGTGACAAAAAAGATGTCAGTATCTGCTGAGTCTCTGCAACATTATTATTTTTTGTCAGTAGTGAGGTTGGGGCTCTTGCTTGATAGGCAGGTGCTCTACTGTTTGAACCACACCCCTAGTGCAGTTATTTCCCTCTCCCATCCCTGCCTACAAGTTACACAGGTCATTTTTCACATAGTGGATACTGAATAGCATTTGTTCATCCTTCCTCCATCCCTTACAACACCCCTTAAAAAACAAAAACCCAAAGCAAAAACAAACACTACCACCACCACCAACAACAAGAATGATAACAGCAACAACAGAAAAAAACAAAAACAAAAACATGTTTCCCTTTCCTGGAATACAGACACAGTTTATAAAAATCCTACTTTTTTTTTTTTTTTTGGGTCCGGTCTTGGGGCCTGAACTCTGGGCCTGTGCGCTGTCCCTCAGCTCTTCAGCTCAAGGCTAGTGCTCTACCACTTGAGCCACAGCGCCACTTCCGGCTTTTTTCTTTTTGCTTATGCGGTGCTGAGGAATCGAACCCAGGGCCTCAGGCATGCAAGGCAAGCAGTCTACCACTGAGCCACCTTCCCAGCCCCTAAAAATCCTACTTTTTGGGCTGTGAAGGTGGCTTAGTGGTAGAGTGATTGCCTAGCATGCCTGAAGCCCTGGGTTTGATTCCTCAGTACCACATAACAGAAAAAAACAGAAGTGATGCTGTGGCTCAAGTGGTAGAGTGCTAGCCTTGAGCAAAAGAAGCTCAGGGACAGGGCCCAAAACCTGAGTTCAAGCCCCAGGATTGGGAAAAAAAATTTTTTTAACTTGTACTTTTAGCTGGGCCCTGATGACACACACCTGTAATCCTTGCATTTCAAGGGGATGTGATCTGGAGGATAGCAGCAGTTTTATATCAGCCTAGGGAAGAAAATGTCCATGAGACTCTATCCTCAGGGCTGGAGGTATGGCTTAAGTGGTAGAGCACCAGCCAAGCAAGCAAGCCAAGGGAAGTCAAGGTTCTTCAGTTCAAACACTTAGTCCTGCTGAAAGAAAAGAAAGCAAAAAAGTAAGAAAGAAAGAAAGAGAGAGAAAAAGAAAGAGAAAGAGAGAGAAGAAGGGAGGGAGGGAAAGAAGGGAGGGAGGGAAGGGAGGAATGGAAAGTAGGAAGGAAAGCTGAGTTTTATTGTCTTCTTTCACCTTTAAGAGAGTGCCCCCTGCACAAGTATAGTGTAGAAGAGCAGACAATCATCAAATAGTGAAATAACCCCAGCTGGGAGATGGAAACATGTCAGTCACCTAAGGTTCTAACAGCTCTGCTTTATGATGTCCCTTCATCTAGTGGTCACAACCACTCTATGAAGTGGGGAGTCACTATTGTTCCATTTTCCAGCCACGGACATCAATGCCTGGGGAGGGTAAGTATCCCAAGCTCACTCTAGCTTGTGGCAGATCCAGGCGGCGCAGTCCCCAGTGTATCCACACAAACACCGTGCCAGGGCGACCATGTCTTCTGGGAGGTGAGAAGAGCTCACTGCGTGATAACATCACTTCACTTAGGAACTGTTGATCGTGTAGGACATCAATAGGCACAATCCTGTCCCCAGTTAGGGACTTGGAAATTTCTGTTTTTCACTGACAGCCATCCTGGGGGGTAACAAAAGTGATAGCAAAGATGGAGTATGGAGTGGTAATGTTATTTTTCTTCTGTTTCCCTTCCTTTCCTGTCTTGCAGGAGTTAACTCCTTCATGGTGTACATGGCCTATAAGGATCTGTATCAAGTGTCCAACACAGAGGTAACAGTCCATTTGTTGTGGGGTTTGGGATATCTGGATGGGTTTCCTCTTGTGAATGACCTTGGCCCCTGTAACATGAGCCGCTGTGGCTGCTGTGGGAGAATTGCTGGGCCCGACTGCTTCCCTGAGCCTTTGCTTTTCACACTGCACCGTTAATGAGGTAGTGGGCAGGGAGCCCATGCAAGGCAGACAAGGAGATAGAGTTTCTGCCAGCTGCAGCTGGCAGAGGATAAGAGGAAGGTCATACCTGTATCTCCATCTACTGAACAAGTGCCAAATCCCATGTAAGTTTAGTAAGAGAGTGGGGTGCTCTGCCGTTACGTGGGGTGATGGTTCCAGATCGCCTCAGACTCTCTCTTTGGATCATGATGACATGTTTTTGTTGAAGATAAATCTCAAGTTAGCAAAGGAATTCAAATTCCCATGCTTCTTGGTTTGGAGGTAAGGGAGACCTGCCTTGAACGGTTCAGAGATATGGGTGTTAGCCTTAACCAGTCAGTCATGGCGTTCTGAATCACTTGTTGAGGATGCTGAAGCAGTGTCTTAGATCATGGGAAAAGGTTATATGAAAAATGTATGTCTGAGGCAGAAGCCAGGGGTTGGACCACTGTACACCATCATCCTGTCTAGGAGATATGCCAAGTTCTTTACACAAACAGAATCTCCTAGAGTTTCTTTGGACCACACTCTCTTTTGGACATGCATCTTTGGGTCTGTATTTCAGCCCTCGTCTCTGATTTCATCTGGTTTATTATTCCACTTGGCTTTGGTATTTAGTCTTTAGGGGAGGTGCCTAAGAGGGACTGTGAAGGTGACAAAGATTGATTTCTATTTCAGCTTTATGAGATCTTCACCTGCCTGGGAGAACTGGGAGCCATTGCTCAAGTCCACGCTGAGAATGGGGATATCATTGCCCAGGTAGTACCCCTCAGTGTGCTGTCTGCGCAGGGCTGAGTCTCCCCCTCACTGCTCTTTCATTCCTTTACTGTCTCTTGAGCTCTTTAATACATGCATCACTGTCATGAGTACTTTGTTAAACACTGAATCTCCCCTAAAGAACCCCATGAGTCAGGGGAAGAGGAGCATAGGATGCAGTAAAGGGAAAGCTACGAGATCCTATGAAACACAAAGAGGTCTGGCCATCCTGGAAAATCACAAAGAGCATCCCAGAAGAGGAGGCTTCCAAATGAGATCTCGCAATGGAAGAATGTCCTACGTGACGTTTCTGTTCTAAACCAAAACCCTAAGGCAGCATTTCTCAGAAGCCAGAAATCTGATCCAGGGCTGCAGAACTTATATCCTTAGATAATAAAGACCAAAAGTCTTGTGGGGACCAGACATCCCACTGGTTTCCTAGAAATGATGTTGAAAATGTGAAGGAAGTGATAAAGTGAGGCCTGAACTGACCCTTTGTAAGCAAGCAGAAATCTCCCAGGATACTTTATGGAATAGATGTTCAGATGTATCTTTGGCAGGATTTTGCTTATCTTAGACACAGTCAGCAGGAAGACTATCAGTAGAGATAGTACAGTGAGCTCCATCACACATTCCTTCAAAGAGTGTATCCTGAGCATTTTGTGCCAGGCACTATGCTGTTTATGTGGGCCCAGAGGGATGGATATCATATCTCACACATGCCTATGCTGTGCCTTCTGTCAGAAGGTACCCAGGACTTGATGACAAGGGTCAAGTGGGGGTGTGGGAACACCATATAGGCTAACCCTCAACTCAGCCTCCTAATAATGAGGACCATTGGTGAGCACTTACTAGTCTGGGATAGACACGACCAAATACTCTAGCATATGTTCTTTGAGTCTTCTTCCAACCCTTTCAAGATGCCAGTATGAAGGCAGGTGCCAGTAGCTCATGCCTGTATTTGTAGCTACTCAGGAGGCTGTGATCTAAGGATTGCAATTGAGAGTTAACCTCTAAATAATTACCAAACAAGAAAAAGAAAAACCAGAAATAGGGGCTGGGAAGGTGGCTCCGTGGTAGACCGCTTGCCTTGCATGCCTGAGGCCCTGGGTTCGATTCCTCAGCACCACATAAGCAAAAAGAAAAAAAGCCAGCAGTGGCACTGTGGCTCAAGTGGTAGAGCGCTAGCCTTGAGCTGAAGAGCTGAGGGACAGCGCCTAGGCCCAGAGTTCAGGCCCCACGACCAGATTCCCTCCCCCCCCCCCAAAAAAAAAACAGAAATAGAGGTGTGGCTCAAATGGTGTAGTGCTAGCCTTGAGTGAAACAGCTAAAGTATAAGCACTACAGCTGTGAGTTCAACTTCCAGTACACACACACACACACACACACACACACACACACACAATGATGTCATTATACTTCCCATTTTATAGATGAGAAACATCAAGGTTCAGAGGGATGAGATGTCCAGGGATCAAAGCAGACAATGGGGAGAAGCAGAACTTAGCCCTCAGATGATGTCCCTTGGACACCTTTACCCAAAAGCAGTGTATCTAGAACCCCTTCCTCCTTTAGCCTGATCATGCCCCCTAGCAAGGCCTCCCTGACTCCCCATCCATGCAAGACTCCAGCTGTTGTGATTTCAGACTCTGAATATTGTCTGGTTAGTGCAGGAAGTCAGCTAAGTGTGTGCAGTTTTCTCTCACTTAAAAACAAGAAGGATACTTAGTCAAACCCCTGTCACACCTTCTCCCATGTCACTTCTTCCACACTCAGACATCATGAAACCTTTGTTCCACGGAGGGCCCAGTGGCCAGCTCCCAGGGGAAGGCACCCTGCTCTTGTTAGAACTGTCATCCCACCCCTCCTCCAAGTGTTCAGTCAGCCGCTGCCCTGGAAACAAAGTTCCTTATGGACCCAGAGTTTCAGCTCTTAGTGCTTCTTCCCAGATCCTTTCCCCTGTGGCTCCTTAGTCCAGATGCTTCTCTCTTTCCCTTCCACCCCCATTCTTTCTGGCTACCTTGGGAAGATCTGTTCTCAGTCAAGGAAAGGATAAAGGCATGTTTCCATTTGGATGAGTTTCTTGGTGTGTTTATTAAACACAGCTTGAGCTGAAAGATTGTATCACATCATCTAAATGAAGGCAGCTGCTGTACTCTGCACTTTGGACTCAAAAGCAAAAAGAAGACATTTCCTCTGGTTACAAGCCAGGCCAATTTTCATAGAGTGTCCAGCATCTTTCACATTCATTTAAACAACTATCGGACACCTGTGATGGGCCAACCCTTCAAGAGAAAAGTCAAAAAAGATGTGTGAAGCAAGCCCTGATTGGGCTATGACTCGTAACTGTGACATCATTGTTGTTCTGATGAGTGTCTGAGAATGCCCAGCATAGGTGGCGTCAGTGAGCACTGACAGATGATCTTACAGCTGTGGGAACCTCTTAGATCCACAGATGTTCGAAGAAAATGTGTAGTGCATCGGAGTCACCAGGTTTTCCCAAAGAGCTTCTGATTCCCTAGTTCAGTAGGGAGCGAGTTCAGAAAAGTGTATTTGCAAAATGGATTTCTGTCAAATGTGTTTGGAGACCACTGCTTGAGCTAGCTTTGACCTGTGCATTACCCTGGCACAAGCAGACAGGATAGAGGAGCATGTTGTTTAAGACAGAAAATTCTTTAGTCGTAAATGTCAGCCCTTGGAGAGACTGACGCAATGAAGAGTGGACATTCGTCGAGTTTTGAGGAGATTTTATTGAGCTCATGTTTCATTGCACTGGGGATGGTAAGAATAAAAAATGCAGGTGCTTTGGTTGAAAAACCAGCCTCTCTTTTTTGTGTGTTTTTACTTTCTCAAGTATGTACCTTTTCATTTTCCTCCTTTTTTGTTTTTTGTTTTTTTTTGTTTTTGTCAGTCATGGGCCCAAACTCTGGGCCTGGGTGCTGTTCCTCAGCTCTTTAGCTCAAGGCTAGAGCTCTACCACTTGAGCCACAGTGCCACTTGTGGCTTTTTCTGCATATGTGGTGCTGAGGAATCGAACCCAGGGCCTCATGCATGCAAGGCAAGCACTCTACCCCTGAGCCACCTTCCCAGCCCTGTCCTCCTATTTTAGAAATCTGAAATATCAAATATCAAACAACAAAATCCCTAAAGAGTCTTCTTTTTCAGGTGGTACGAATACTTTTATGCTTCACATCCTAGTTGTAAAGTGAATCAGATTTGTTCCATTCCTCTTCTTTCCTGTGTTCCCAGGTCACTGGACTGGGCTAGCTGGAGCAGAGATTTAATAACTTGTCTTAAGACACGTCAGGGTGAATGCCAGGAAATTTGTAGCTATGATGCTTTAGGCTGTCTGCCAGTGCCAGCTAACTCCTGTGTGTGCTCACTGCCCAACCTCCTGCTTCTTCTGAAAGTAGTAAAGAAGTCCAAGGAAATTATCAACAAGCACAAGAGGCAGACTGTTCTTCTCCAATGTCCACAACTTAGTTAAATAGACTTTGGCCAAACACTAACTCAGGGAATGCTGTCGAGAGGCATTATTTAATTCACCGATTTAATTCAAAAGCTGTAAAGGTTAAAAGCCTAAAAATCCAGAGAGACTTATTGAAATGTAGAGTGCTACAAGGTAATCTCTTATTTTTTTCTAATTTGGTAGGCCAGAATAGAGCTAGAAATCTGCTTTGCTACTAAAACAAGTCAGGCAGACCAAACTTTGGGGGATCTGGCACTAACTATGAGCTCCCTGAGGTCAGAGACATACTGCTTTAATTCAAGTGTTTAGCCCAGAGCCTGGTGTGACGTAGACATTCAGAGCATGTTGTGGATTAGATGGGTTGAAGTACAAGCTAAACAACTGTATTTTCAGAGTTAGCTGAAAGAAATGAAAAATAAATGACCTGATATAACTTTTGATAGGTCATATAGTCATAAAATGGATGCTCATCACTAAATGGATATTGGAACCAGACATTGTAATCCTGGCTATTCAGGAGGCTGAGATCTGAGGAACACAGTTCGAAACCATCCTGGGCAGAAAAATTCATGAGACTCATTTATCTCTAAGCAGCAAAAAGCCAGAAGAGGTCATATGGCTCAAGTGATAGAGTACCACAACCTTGTAGGAACAAACTAAGTGAAAGTGCCCTGAGTATAAGCTCAAGTACTGATGCACACTATGCATGTGTGCACATACGTGCTTGCTCACACACACACATACACATACACAACCATACACATACACAACTCAATACTTGGATGGTGTTTCTTTTAATAAAAGGAAAGCAGCATCTTTTTCTTCTTCTTCTTTTAGTCAAGATTGTACCCTTTATCACAACACCAAATAGAGAACTCAACAGTAGGCCTTGGCTAAGCTTACTTAAGGAAATTTTCTATTTTGCTTTCTTTCTAGGAGCAATCCCGGATGTTGGAAATGGGAATAACGGGCCCAGAGGGCCATGTGCTGAGTAGACCAGAGGAGGTGAGTTGAGGGGGAGAGGTGTGTTGTAGAGGGCAAGGGGGAAATCAGGAGAGCAAAACCCTGATCATGGGAACTTCTGGTTTATTAACATCTTCGGATAGAATCTGCTTTTCAGAATCCTTGCCAACTAGCTATGGCGTGCCACTGACTCAAGTTACTTTTGAAATATGTCTATTTTGGCTCACTTCTCCAAGCCACATGCAAACACCAGGTATGAATAAACACTCCTGAAAGGGGCTGAGAACCTAAGAATGCTAGAGGGCACTGCTGTACCATTTATTTCAAAGATCACTTCTGGTCAGTATTTGCTTAAAGGCCTTTGAGACAATTGAAGAGGAATATAAAGGAGATACTTACTTCTGACCTTCCCAGTCCCTGATCTCTCTAAGGAAAGCATAGGAGGCAAGGGCACGTCACAGATTTTTTTCAGTAGGAGAGACACATTTGTAATTCCTTTCATAATCACTGTGAATCATGGAGACATTTCTCCTCTTTATGTCGTGCTCTGTTTTGAGTCTTACACAATCTTGGGCAAGTAGATAGGTGATAAAATTAGTATTGGGTGGCATTATGCCTATTGGTTTGTGTAAGGTGATGGTCATGGCAAGGGTTTCCAGTTTCACACATGTACATGAGTAATGATGCACATCTGTGTTTAGCAGCTAATGAAGCAATGAAAGGTGGTTCAGCTGATGCCATGTCTGGGATGTCAGCAACTTTGCCTGCTGGCATCGGGCACGGAGCTGGCAATTGGTGCCCATATGGCTCTCCCAATTGGCTCTGGGAGAGAAGCCAAAGACTGACACTTGTAGTGAAATCCGGCCTTCGTGTCAGCAAAGCGAATCCAGTTTCTATCCATCATTTCAACGTTACAACAAATAGAATAAAAGCTTAGAACTAGAAGAGACTATATCCCATTGCCCATCTTTTCAGAACCTTAAAAAATGAAAATACAACAAGAATAGACAAAAGCATTCCTCTCACAAAGATCTAACACATTGTATATTCATCAGAAGCCCTCTTTTTTTTTTTCTGTGATGTTTTTCGCTCCATTTGATTTAATCCATAAATGCGAGTGGCATTCTGTTTCTTTAATAATACCAGGTCCCCCTGTGCTCTGGTGGCTCACATCTATAATCCTAGCTACTCACAAGGTTGAGATTCTGAGAATTGCAGTTCAAAGCCAGCCTAAGCAGGAAAGTCTGTGAGACTCTTATCTCCACTTAACCACCAGAAAAGTAGAGCAGTGGCTCAAAGTGGTAGAGTGCTAGCCTAAAGCAAAAGAACTCAGAAATAGCACCTAGACCCTGAGTTTAAGCCCCATGGCTATCTAACAACAACAACAACAACAATAATAATAATACCAGGTCTCTTTCTGTGACACACTTACTCCTTTCATCATGCTAATTGCATGTATGATCTCCCTTATCATTGCTGCCACCCAAGGTAGTGAACACTACTGTATAGATCAACAATCACTGGAATCTGGGGCTGGAGGCATGGCACAAGGGTAGAGTGTCTGCCTAGCAAGTACAAGGCCTTGAGATCAGATCCCAGCTCTGAAGTTCAGAGACTTTAGACCACTGACCGGCCATGCTTGAAGGATTGACAAATCCTTAAGCAGTGTGAGCAGAGCAGAGCTGTCAGCACTGTTTGTGAAGCTATAAATATGGTCACTGGAGAGATGTGCTGGCAAAACTAGGCTCCTCACAAGCAGCCAGGGGATTTCAGAGCAAAATCTATTTTTGTTCTTTGGTTTGTTTTTTGTTTTCTCAACTTTTCTCTACCCTCATCACCTCAAACCTTCCCCCAGTTCCTATCTCCTTTTTAGTTAAAAGCTTCTGGGCCTGCAAATCTCTACAACCCTGCAAAGTCCTTTGGGGGTAAAAGTGGAGGGTGGTGTAACCTTCTAAAGATAGTCAAAGTGTGGAAAAAACTACTGTGTGGGACAGAATGAGATCGAAGGGACCAGGACTGAGCTCCTGGGGAAGCTGAAGTGGTCAGCAAAGGTGAAAAGGGGAAAGGGGGAAGCCACCGTCTTCCAGTGAACCAGAGGCTTTTCTTCCCACATATGCTGTTCAGACTGTGGAGTCCAAGGCATAGAGCATCTGCTCCAGGTTCTGCCATCTGGGTGCTTTATGGGGCTGCTGGGTTCACCTGCACCCAGGGGCCTCCAGACATGAGTCTGCATGGATAAAGTCCTAGGGACACCAGCGGGGCAAATTCCTTGTGTCTGTCTGCTGAGCCATGTCCACCACAGCAGTGGCTGGCTTGCGTGCTATATCTACCGGACATCTGCAAGTTATTTTGGGTACATTTTGAAGTGTTGGGCTGCACAGGCTTACCAGAAAGTCATATCCATACAGAGAGGAACTGGTGCTGATTGTGTGGAAAAATGCCATTGTCTCTGCTCCAGACTGAATTGGACTAACTCAGGCTGTGGTTAGTAACAGGCTCACACTGGCCAGAGACTGAAACAGACAAGCCAAGAGCCACCCTTCACAGGATATTGCCTTGTCCAAGGAGTGGGCTAAATGCTTGCTTAAGAGGATTAACTCAGCCTGGCCCTGATGGCTCTCGCCTGTAATCCTAGCTATTCAGGAGGCCGAGATCTGAGGATCGCGGTTCAAAGCCAGCCCGGGCAGGAGAGACCGTGAGACTCCTATCTCCAATAAACCACCAGAAAACCCGAAGTGGCGCTGTAGCTCAAGTGGTAGAGCGCTCGCCTTGAGCTGAAGAGCTGAGGGACAGTGCCCAGGCCCAGAGTTCAAGCCCCACGACCGACAAAAAAAAAAAAAAAAAAGAGGATTAACTCATTGAATCCTTACAACTGCCCAAGCTGTCCGATTCTGATTGCTCCCTCCCTTCTTCCCTTTCTCCCTCCTTCTCTCACTTCTTCACTCCTTTCCCCTTCCATTTTCTTTCCCTCCTTCCCTTCTCTTCTCTTTCTCCTTCCTTCCTTTCTCCCTCTCCCTCTCTCTTTTTCTCCCTCCCCATCCACTTTCCCACTCCTCTCTCTTTCATGTGCATAAGTGCACAAGGTGCACACACACACACACACAAACACACACATTTTACATACAAGGAATCAGGAAGGTTGTGTAACATACCTGACTTATCAATAACAGAACTTAACCCAACTTATAAGTCACAGAACCAGGACACTGAGGCAGCCTGAGACTCTACAACCCTACTTTTTAATAAAATAAGGGAAATCTCATTGCTTCTTACTCAGTGCAACAGGATCAGTTACATATTTCAAAGCATGAATTCTACACTAGAGTGAGATGAATAGATGTCTAAGAAAAGTAATATTCAGCCAGGCACCAGTGGCTCCTGCCTATAATCCTAACAACTTAGGAAGCTGAGATTTAAGGATCAAGATTTGAAGCCAGCCTGGGCACCAAAGTCCCTAAGATTCTTATCTCTAATGAATTACCAACAAAAGTCAGAAGTAGAGCTATGGCTCAAGTGCTAGAGAGCTAGCCCTGCGCAAAAAAGCTCAAGGATAGCACCCAGGCCCTGAGTTCAAGCCCAGGACCAGCACACACACACACACACACACACACACACACACACACACTAATAGATAGATCAATAAAAAGAGAAAGAAAGAGAAAGAGAGAGAGAGAGAGACAGACAGACAGAAAAAGAGACACAGAGAGAGACAGAGAGACAGAGAGAGACAGAGAGAAGCCTGGGAACAGTTCTTATAAAAATGTCTCCCAGCTGGGCACCAGTGGCTCACGCCTGTAATCCTAGCTACTCAGGAGGCTGAGATCTGAGGATTGTGCTTCAGTCAGCCTGGGCAGGAAAAGTTCGTGAGACTCTTATCTCCAATAAGCCACCAAAAAACCAGAAGTGGCACTGTGGCTCAAGCGGTAGAGCGCTTGCCTTGAGCTGAAGAGCTGAGGGACAGCGCCCAGGCCCAGAGTTCAGGCCCCATGACTGACAAAAATAAAATGTTTCCCAGAATTAACCCATGCCTGACCATGAGCTGTACAGGGCAGGATTTGAGGAGCCATTATGCTTGACTGCTTTTCCTGGACCCAGTGTCACCATGATTTTGGTTCCTATAGAATCTTCCCTGAGCAAGTTGGGGAGCAGAGGCACACAGCTATGGTGATACCCACAGAATGAGAGTGTAAGGGAACTCTCAGCTGACAGCAAGTCAGCATCACAAGTGTGTCAGCCATTGCCCTGACAGCCCTTCACTGGATTCTCTTATTTCTCTTTTTACCGGAGAGGCCAGAGGCCCTGAGAAGCTGAGTGACCCAGCAATGGTGGGTTTGAAATGGGGTCATGGCCATCTAACTGCATACGCACCAGGTGGATTTTTTTTCACCATTTATAGAGGCCAGGAAAGGCAAAGGTGAGGGGTTCGTACTTCTATTCACTCGTGGAAATTTGTTTCTACAGCTGGAAGCCGAGGCTGTGTTCCGAGCCATCACCATCGCCAGCCAAACCAACTGTCCACTCTATATCACAAAAGTCATGAGCAAGAGTGCAGCTGATCTCATCTCTCAAGCCAGGAAAAAAGGTGATTTGTATTCCCAGTCTCGCAGCCCCTGATGAATGGCATGGCCCCTTGGCTATCTCTGGTCATAGAAATGGTACCTATTCAGTTTTATTGCCCTGCTCTTTAGGAAATCTCAGTTCATATCAAAGGCTCTGAGGCTTTTCCCACCTTGTGTGTAAGTGTACAGGCTCAGCTCGGGAAGGTGAAGTAGAGTGTATAACATGGCATGGATTCAATTATTTCTTTGGAGATCTCACGGGTCTCACTTTCTCGTTTCAATCTGCACATTCGTTTGCATTATCTGGGTTTTGTAAATAGTCAAGATTACACATAAGTCCAAGGTCAACTCCGGTTGGCTTAAACAAACAAACCAAAGTAAGTGATTGGTTATGGGTGTCTGTGCATAGCTAGGTTGAGGGGTTTTATCAGTGGTATCAAGCCAGTGTCATTCTTCTTGCTTTCCTGGCTCTCTTTCCACCCTGACAACTTGCTGTTCCATGTGAACGTGACAAGAACAGATGCCAGAGGCCACCTGCTGTCCTCAATTCTTGGTGGAAGACTTGATGGATAAATAGAACACCCCTTTCCCCAAGGCTCAAGCTCAAGGCCCCAGGGCTGGGGCCCTGTGCCTAGACTATCGCCTGCCCGGGGCATGGTGTCCTCTGTCTAGAATGAAGAGCAGAATGCAGGGGCAGAGTTACACTGACCTCTCAAGGTTGTCTACCACCATGGCCTTCCTGGCCCAGGGCTCTGTACCTCTGTCTTCTTCCTTCTGCTGCTTTCTTCACTGATGTTCACACGGGCTTCAGTTGCTCGACTTGGGTTGAACTTTCTTCACACTTCAAAGCTCTCTTATCTATTTGTGGGTCTTGTCTTCAATGGCAAATGGACTTGGTTGTGAAACTGAGTTTATAAAGACTGTGGCTGAGAAGCCTGAGACATGGACCATGTTTGGTCATGGAAGAGGGCGTCCCAGGTTAGTCATATGGTGGCTGCCACTGTGGTCATCTGCTAGTGGAAAAACCACGATGAGGGGTTCATCTGCCAAACCCTCCTATAGAATCTTGGGTGTGTGAGTGACTCTTTTTCTATGGGAGTGGAATCTTCTGGACTGTCTTTCTAGCTGGAAGATTCTGAATCCCACCTTGCTTTCAGAAAGCCTGCCTTTCCCTCCAAATAGTATACCACAACTGTCCTGGCAGAGCTGCTCCACTGGGTGTGAGCCATTAGCAAGACCCAGAGAGCATTCTAGCTATGGCCGCCATGCTCATACTGTCATGCTATGCCTTCAGCCAATGGCTGAATCCTACCAGGCCCCATCCTTGGGGACCAATGAGGAGGGGCTTCTTCCATTGTATGCTGGTCTTATTCAAACTTCATGGAGAATTCTTCAGTCCCCTTAGCCCTCTGGCTCTTGATTCCCTGACAAAGAGCTAGTAGAGCTGTGGCACTGTTATTCTGTCATGGAAAACTGGCTGCCAAGATGGAAGTCAATCAAGGCCTCATGGATGGTCTTTCTCGGGGAAAAAGCGAGAAACATTCCAAGGAGAAAGACACATTTCACATCCTGACTACATTGCATCTCCCTTTGAGGCTCAGTTTACTTTCCGAACCCCTGTGTCTTATTCACTGAGACGCGTAATGAAATGTCTTTCCCAGCATCCTTCCTCAATCATCCTCAGTTAAACCCTTGAACCAAGTCACTTCTTGCCTTAGGTTGAGAAGCAATGAACATGATCAAAAAAAACTCGTGAGAGCTTCTGATCCACAGGAATGGGTTTGACTTTGTGGGACCAAAGCTTATTCTTGAAGCAGCAGAGAAGATCTGGCCATTGCCAGTGATGTGGTCACATTCTGGGCTTTGGGGTCTTATGGTGGACAAAGCAGGAGGTAAAATCAGTATTTACTTAGCATCTTCCATGCGCCACACCTTTCACCTGTGCAACTCTTTTCATTTCACAGGCCTGAGAAGCAGACTTTCCCTTGTTTCATGAATTCTTGGATGTATCCTGTTAACCTTTTAGTATTTCTGCAATGAGAATAAATCCTGTATCCATACTTAATTTTTATTTTAGTCTGCATGAAATTTTAGTTTGTCTCAACATTTGAGGGTCCGTGTTGTATCTTACAACTGAGATTCTTCTTATCTAGAGAATGCCCAATTGTTTACATTTAGCAGAGAAAAAAGCAGAAGCCTAGAAAAAGAGAGGGAATATGGATTTGCCTGTCTCACTCAAGAGTCTAAGCGTTGCTTTGATCAAATATGGTAGGCCCTGAGCAGTCTATACTTGGTTGCAAACCTAATGCTCTTCCCTACTCTTTTCAGGGAATGTGGTCTTTGGCGAACCCATCACTGCCAGCCTGGGAATAGATGGAACCCATTACTGGAGCAAGAACTGGGCTAAAGCAGCTGCATTTGTGACATCCCCACCTCTGAGCCCTGACCCCACCACTCCTGACTACATCAACTCCTTGCTAGCCAGGTTGGTGCAGGAAGCCAAGCACCAGGTGTTTCGTGGAAGTGTCTTGAAGCCAGCTGATGGGGGCTGAAATAGCCCCAGCTCTCAGCTGGACTAGAAGCCACAGTGTGAAATTCTCCTGCAGTCTTGTGTGCAGAAACCTCAATCTTCTACTTCCTGTTTCAAATGATTATACAGCAATAATGTAGCAATTTTACAAGAGAGGAACTCTTAACCCTATTAATGTCATTTTGCAGAGGAAGCAACTGAAGGTCAAAGAGTCATTTGCCTACGTTGAAATCATTGGTCATGATGACATGTAGCTAGAGTCACCTGTTGCTGTCTCTGGGCATGTAGAATCAGGCCATCAGTCATTTAAGTTCTATTTACTTTGGTACTAAGAGATGATCTAATCTCACCCCCTCACTTTCAGGATGAGGTAACTGAACTCAGAAAGGGAAGAAACATACCCAGCTCATAGTAAGGGTCTGTAGAGGAGGATGTGGAAATGTGGGAGTCTGACTCCAAACTCTCACACAAGACATGAATGAATACTGTGCCCTGGTGGACGGCACCCATCAATTCTGCTCACATAGCACTTTCTCCTTTTCCAGTGGGGATCTGCAGCTCTCTGGCAGTGCCCACTGCACCTTTAGCACTGCCCAGAAAGCCATTGGGAAAGACAACTTCACAGCCATCCCTGAGGGTACCAACGGGGTCGAGGAGCGAATGTCTGTCATCTGGGACAAGGCTGTGGTAAGGTGGGGGCGGGGGTACGGGGAAGTGATGGGGGGATGGCCTAGGCTAGATCCAAGCCTCTTGCACCAACCAAGCCAGGGCTCTGCTCCCCAGGTGTTCTGGTGAGGACAGTCTAGATGCAGGGGAGATTTCACACCTGCAGTGAGAGGTGCAGAGGCAGGTGACTCAACCGGTTTGGGAACTCGCCTTCTAGTCACCAAGTCAGATATGTAGAACTGGAAGAAATATTCCAAGGTTAAGAACCATGAACAGGGCTGGGAAGGTGGCTCAGTGGTAGAGCGCTTGCCTTGCATGCTCGAGGCCCTGGGTTCGATTCCTCAGCACCACATAAGCAAAAAGAAAAAAGCCGGAAGTGGTGCTGTGGCTCCAGTGGTAGAGCGCTAGCCTAGCTGAGGGACAGCGCCCAGGCCCAGAGTTCAGGGCCCACGACCGGACCCAAAAAAAAAAAAAGAACCAAGAATAGTCATAAAACTTTTCCAACCAACTCTATGAATGACTGGATTTAAAATACCAATGAATTAATTAATTCTTTATTTTTTTGTTGTTGTTTGGAGAGTTTTATGACTTCCTTTGAAAGAGCACTGAAAATGGAAAGCATGAATATGCTGTCTAATGTGTGTTTGCCAAATGAACTGACAGCAGCTTATTTTCTTCACAAAGTAATTTATGGGCAACAGATTTTTGTGATCTGACAAAAAATGTTTACATATTTACATTTTTAAAAAAATGGTAAGCAATGAGTCTGTGCCAGGAGTCACGCTACTCCACCGGCACTACAGGTGGCAACCCAGGAGACTGTCCATCAGTGTCTTCTGAGGAAAGAAACAGACACTTAAATGGAGACTCTCCCAAAGATTTTAGTAACCAACTCATGATTTATTCAGCTGATCACTTCCCCATGTTCAGGGCCAAAGAGAATATATGTAAACTAATACCCTATTCATCTATGCAGTGTGATTCACTGAATTTCTTTTCTCCCAGTAAGCTCAAGGCTTGCTTTTAACTTTAGTCTTTTCTGTACTCAAGCCATTTGTATTGAGATCACAGAAAGTATATATATATATATATATATATATATCTCAAATAGCTTGTCTTTTCTACACTGTTCTGTATTTATCAGTAGGTTTATGTATCCTGACACTATCTGAAATTATTAGCAATAATTTTAGGCACTCATGCTTGAGAATTACATAATTACATAATTATACTCAGTGATGGATCCCATAGGTGGTCCCAGAAAATTATATTACTGAGGGATATGAGAGCTGTCTTCCTTTGTGCTAGCCCGCTCCATGAGCGAGCAAACAATAATGAAATCACAACCCCATCCTGAGAGAGGTACAGGTGTATCATTCATTAAGTTGCCAACATACTGCTTGCTTCATAAAGAACACTTGGAAACCTCACACAAGTGCATGTATGAAAACAGAACAAACATATGAAATGGCCTCTAGCAAGGCACAATGGCTCATGACTGTAATCCCAACTACTTGGGAGACTGAGATGAAGAGGATCATGGTTCAAGGCCAGCATGAGCAAAACCTTCACCAGACCCTATCTCAACTAATTAAAAGCTGGGTATGATGACTCAGCTTTCATCCCAGCCATGCATGCAGGAAGTATAAACAGGAAGATTACAGTCACGGATTGCCCAGGTAAAAAGACCCTATTTGGAAAAATAATGAATGCAAAGAGGGTGGATGGACATAGCTCAAGTAATAAAACATGTTCCTAGCAAGCAGAAGACTCTACATTTAAACTTCAATCCCAAGTGGAAGGAATTCTCGTAATTCTACTACTCAGGGATGAGCATCTTAACTATTCTGATGCAGATACAGCATATTTCAAGTACACACATGTATTGAAAGACTGGGATCACAATCACATTTTTTTACTGTAAACTCCCTAATTCCTTGTGGGATAATGAATAAATGAGTAAAAATGTGCATGCTCAGAAGAAAGCACATACTCCAGGACAGTACCTTTTACCTGAAGCCTTGTGTCTGACTACCCAGCCTGCATGCTCACCTTTATGTGGGCCCTCAGTTCTTTCCAGTGTTTGAGCTCATCTTCCTCCGAGCTTGGAAGCCCAGTGTCAATAGATACAGGGAATATAGAGATAGAGTCAGATATAGTTATATGCTTTGTGTATTTCTATAGGCCACAGGGAAAATGGATGAAAACCAGTTTGTGGCTGTGACAAGCACAAATGCTGCCAAGATCTTTAACTTGTATCCTCGCAAGGGCCGGATATCTGTGGGCTCTGACAGTGACCTGGTCATCTGGGATCCAGATGCTGTGAAAATCGTCTCTGCCAAGAACCACCAGTCGGTAAGGCCTGGGCTGCTGATAGGAATTCATGCCCAGAGCTAGGTCAGGAGTGTGTGTACATGGTATGCTATCAGTTAGACTTGTTCAAGTTGCAATCGTAATCCATCCTGGATCTTAGTGGCTTAAAACATAAACTGTATTTCTTGCTCTTGATGTCCAGGATAGGTGGGTCAGCACAATGGCTCAGCTCTTCCTCCTCTGACCAGGATTGGGGGGATCTGTGAGGCTCCCCCAAATCCTGTGTGTTAGCAGTACTAAGGAGGCTTAGACAGGCTTCTTGTTTAGAGACTAAGGAAAGAATTAGTATTGTTGTCATGTGTTTCTGTTCATGTAGATTAAAAACCAAAGCCCGATGCTTATATAAGGTACTTAATATTTGTTAGTAAAGAGTTTGTATTTGTTTATAAAGCATTTACCTATCAAGCCCTGTGCTCCCTGATACTGGGGGCTTGAATTCAGAGGCTTGTGCTAGCTTGACTTATTTGATTGGCTGGTGCTCTGCCACTTGACCCAGGCTTCCAGCCCAATTTTTTGCCAGATATTTTCAAAATGGAATCTAACATCCTCTTCTGCCTTGGCTAGCCTTGAACCATGATCCTCCAAATCTCAACCTCTTGAAGTAGTTAGGATGACTGATAGGAGCTCACCCAGGCCTGGCCAAGCACTGTGCTTTTAATTCACCAAATCTCATAACAGCCTCCCACCAATAGACACTATTATTATTCCCATTTTCTAAATGTAAAGGATTAAGGATTTCATGCAGTCAGTCCATGGTGAAGCTAGTTAACCCAAATACCTTAACTCCAAACTTGATAGCGTCTTTTTGCAAAAACTGTCTCTCCTTTATTGAATAAATAAAGGAGATGGGGAGAAATCCTATGTGTTGGTAATCACCATTGGTCAGCCGTCCCATCTCATCATGGTATAGAACGTTGACCTAGTGATTGCAAAGGGCCACACTACCCCTCTATGCACCCACTCCACACCAGACTCCATACACAGCATCTGGAACCTCGCTGGCAGGGAAACCCACTTCTACTTGCAGACTTGCATTTTTCTTTGCCAGAAGTCCGTTCTTCAGTTAGCCAGTGGCAGTCTCCTGCTGTCTCCTCCCTTCTGGAAGGCAACAGACTCACCTAGGGCTTTCCCTGGCTTATCTGGTCATCGGAGGCAGGGTCCCAAACACAGCAGGAAATAAATGCCCTTGTTCTCCCCTTCCTTTACCCGCCGTGGCGTTGGCCTCTGCCCCATCTCTAGGCTGCAGAGTACAACATCTTTGAAGGCATGGAGCTGCGCGGGGCACCCTTGGTGGTCATCTGCCAGGGCAAGATCATGATGGAAGACGGCAATCTGCATGTTACCCAGGGAGCTGGCCGCTTCATCCCCTGCAGCCCCTCCTCTGACTATGTCTATAAGCGCATCAAAGCCAGGAGGAAGGTAAGGAGCAGGTGGGACCCAGAGGTTGGAAAGTGTTTGTTGAAATGAAGGAGACCAAGCGACCCAGAGCATCTGTGTTTCCCAAATACGCACACAGATTCACAGTAGCCCCCTGGCCCTGGACAACAAATGAGTAAGTGTTCTTGTGATAAAGGGAATAATGAAACATTTTTTTTTTGCCAGAGATAGTTGGGGGATTTTTGTTTGTTTTGTTTTCCCTAAGGAATTTCTCCAATGTTTATAGTACTCTTACTTTAAATACTGTAAACTTTGACTAATTGCGTATAATGTTAGCATATTTGTATGAAAATAAATGATTCTCTCCGGGCATTGATGAATCACATCTATGATCTTAACTACTCAGGTTGGTTGAGATTTGAGGATCTTAGTTCAAAGCTAGCTTGGGCAGGCGAGTTTGTGAAACTATTATCTTCAATTAACCATCACAAAGCAGAAGTGGAGTTGTGGCTCAAGTGACGGAGTGGTAGCTTTGAGCCAATAAACTAAGGACAGTGCCCAGGCTCCACTACTATCATTCATATATATATATTATATATATTCCTTTTTATAGTTTACTGGTCCCAGGTCTTGAACTCTGGGTCTGGGGGCTGTCCCTGAGCTTTTGTGCTCATGGCTATCACTCCAACACTTGAGCTACAAGCTCGACATTTAGCTTTTTGTGGTTAAATGGAGATAAGAGACTAATGGACTTTCCTGCCCAAGTTGGCTTTGAACGGTGATCCTCAGTTCTCAGTCTCCTGACTAGGTAGGATCACCGGTATGAGCCCTGGATATTCTTAATGGCTTACAATAAGCACCAGAGTTCACATCCACCCATCCTATCCCAGCCTGTCAGTATTGTTCAATGGCACAAATGCTGACAACTTCTAGCTACCACGGGTAAAACACAAGCTTGCTTAAGTTCTTGATTTTAAACACACTCTCTCTCTGTCTCCCTCTGTCTCTCTGTCTCTGTCTCTGTCTTTCTCTCACTCATACACATAGACTCACACTCACATTTTATATGTGTCCAGTTTGGACCTAACAGAGAAGAAAATAAGACTCAAACTTCCCTAGTGTTCACTCCTTATTTTTGCGGATGTGACTTAGATTCCAGAACAGAGACTTGGGCCTGCTCCTTAGGGAGCAGAGACACCATCATCATGGCTCCATGGACCACCCCCACCCCCCCAACACACACACACACTGATGAGCTTGGCTTGTGTGTTTTTGCAGCCTGTCCACTTCATGAACACAGACGGAAGGCTCTGGCAGGACTTCTGTTGTCAAGCTGTGTTCAATCCTTACACTCAAGTATGGCTAGCAGCATGGCCTCCTTGCCTTGCTGTGGCCAATGATACAATGTGGATAGAGGCTGTGTGCTGGACCCTGGGCCCACTGCCACCAAGTATGGTCTTGCAATGTTTGTCCATTAGACTGTGAGTCCCTCTGAGGGAAGCATCGTATTTCAAAGGACCATACAAACTCCAGCATCTGGCCTGAGGCCCTGCCCTGAGCATGCCTGCCCTTGGTTGACATTGTTGGCTGGCCCCACAGCCAGAGTCCATGGGGTCAGACCACAGACTCTCATTCAGGGCCTGGTCCTCCTGATGTGTGCTCTAAAGGTAGAACTCCCATGTGACCCCACGTTGCCAGCCTGTGAGACCTTGCTTGACATGGCTTCAGTTCCTGATGGCTGGGCTCCAGCCCGTGTGGTAACACTTCCAGCTTGGGCTCCTCCCTCCTGCCCACCCTGTCATCCCCAGCACACCAGACATTCTCCCACCTTGCCTTCTCCTTCACACAAGCCCAGCTGTAGAAAATCCCGCACGCGCTGCGCTCAGAGATGTACATGCAGACTTCAATCTGTCATAAATGAATGGTGACCCTTGTCTTTCTGGCTGCAGATGGGAGACCTGCACGCAGTCCCAAGGGGCATGTACGATGGGCCGGTGTTTGATCTGACCACCACCCCTAAAGGAGGGACCCCTGCGGGTTCTACCCGGGGCTCTCCCACTCGGCCGAATCCACCTGTGAGGAATTTGCATCAGTCAGGATTCAGCCTGTCAGGTTAGCAGCACAGATTTATTAAGGGGGGGAGGGAGGGAAGAAGGGGTGGGGAGGGACCAGGGTGCCTATAAGGGGGACTGAGATCCTAAGAGTTGGTCTTTCATGTGTCTCCAGCCTGGTGCTGGCATCCTATTGAGGAAAAGGATAGTGGGAACAAGCAGGAAGGTTTGGAAACTGAACAATATCCTGGTGAGGAAGTCAGACAAGAACTAGTCAGGTTGGAGATCAAGTTCAAGGTCAAATGCAAATGACAGCAAAGGCTTTGAGGTCAGACCTGCTTGAGAGCAGCACGGAGGAGCTGAAGTGATCTTGATTCTCTATGACACATAGTGTGCTCCTGTGATTTATAAAAATAGTTCTGTTTTGGGCTGGGAAGGTGCCTCAGTGGTAGAGTGCTTGCCTCGCATGCATGAAGCCCTGGGTTTGATTCCTCAGCACCACATAAGTAGAAAAAGCTGGAAGTAGCTCTGTGGCTCAAGTGGTAGAATGGTAGCCTTGAGCAAAAGAAACTCAGGGAGAGGGCCCAGGCCCTCAGTTCAAGTCCCAGGACTGGCAAAAAAAAAAAAAAGCTCTATTTTTATCCTCCAAGTGCAGTAGCTTCTTATAACTACAGTTTTAGTGTTCTTCTCTCCCTGGTAATAATAATAATAGCTTCCACAGCTTTAACTTTTACTGTGTGTTTTTCATATTGTTATCTGACCTGTTCTTTAAGAACTCCCTGATAGGAACAGAAAATCATGGTTCAATTGTTCCCCAGTCAGTGGTCTACACTGGGGAGAAATAAACATAGAGTCCCTTCCCTATGATGGGAGATGTAGGTTTGGGGGAATCAGGATAATAAGAAAGAGAAGGTGTGTTTAAAGGGAGACTCCCATGGCTTGTAGAAGAAGAATAAGGGCTGGAAGAGCATTTTTCAAGGCTCCTTTCATGGGGAAATGGACCTGGCCACTCACTGTTTTCTGTTCAGAGGGTCCTGGTCAGGATCCTTCAAGCTCTGGGCAAGGGACCTAGCTCTCTGGCCTCCCTCCTCCCCTGTGAGTAGAAATAATAGTCTGTCCCTAAACAAGACTCACGTGACTCAGATGGGATTACTCGTGGAGGCTCTTGAAGCTTTGCTAGCCACAATTACTGTTAGGCAGCAGTCTTTCGCCTCCTGATTTTCAGTGTTCTTAGAAATGTTGTCAAGTTCAGGGCAGTTACAAGCTAGATAGAAACTCCGCTGTTCCTACCAGAAAGCACTGTCCCAAGGAAGGGGAAGTAACTATGAAGAGATCAAGGTCTACTCTAAGTTTCTTAGGCCAGTCAGACATTTCCTACCTAATTCTCTTCAAAGTAATCATTTTGCCTTTTACTCCTTCCTTATTTCTCCCTGGGAATTTATTTCCAACGACAGGCACCCAAGTGGATGAGGGCGTCCGCTCTGCCAGCAAGCGCATTGTGGCGCCCCCTGGAGGCCGCTCTAATATCACATCTCTGAGTTAAGCAACTCCTTCCCAAAGAGGAGGGGAGGAGCAGGTGCAAAGAAGCAAGAAGAGATTGTTTTGAAGCCAAAATGGTCCACACCATTATTTAAGAAGCAAAGTACATCCAAACGGTTGTGATCTAAAGAATCAAGAAGCCTCAAGCCTTATGTTTATCCATGTTACGCTTGCTTGCCTAGCTTTACCAATATTGCTTTGTTTTTCTGTTTATGCATAGCCTTGATTTGTTTGACCCCTTTCCCCCACTGACATGCATGCAATCAGACAGGCCACTAAGGTAAAGAGTCTGCTATCCCATAGTGTTGAGAGCGTGTGTAGTGCTACATCATATGACAAAGGGACAGACAAAGCTGGGATGTCAGGGACACGATTAAAAGCCACACAGGTTATTTGGGGTGAGTGGGTGGTGGGAGCTCCAAGCAAGGCAGAGGGTGAAGAAGGGCTGGGGTGGGGCTTGTAGGAGGGAGGTGGGTGGGCTGACTGAGCAGCAGTGTTGTGGGCATTGTGTTGAGGACATGTTATTAATTTCCATGGAAGATGGCTACTTGTGGCTGCCCTTGCTTAACATGGGACCTCTGGGGTACCTCCAAGAAGACAGGTAGTCTTTGCATTCTGGAACTTGTCTCACATCCCTTCCTAGTAGATTTCATTTCTTTGAACGCTTTATTGATACACCAGAATCCAGTCATTTCTTCTACCTGCTTGATGAGGCTGGTGTTGGCTTGGGCCTCTTTCCTGGCATTGCTTTCAAATCCTCTCCTTCCTGGGATGGGAAGGGCAGACTGGGAGGGAGCCGGCGATGCTAGTGTCTTCTTCCTCTTAGAAGGTGATGACTGAGCGCAGCACAGGCCCCAGTGAGGAGGGACACAGAGGCTTTTAATGCCTCCCTCTGAGGACAGGACAGGCTCTTCTGCAAACCCAGAAGCAGCTCATGCTTCTGACATCCTGAGTTGGGGCTTTAGCTCTGATGGGACATGGTGACGAAGGGGAGGAGAGATCAACCATGCTGAGTTTGAGATTGAGGAATGTCAATGATTGACTATGATGATTTTTAATTGATTTCATTAGGTGTTCCCTATTTTTTTACTACTCATGGGGAATCTGCTGTTAGGAGAGTAAAACAGGGATCTGGAAAAAATCAGTCTGGAGCAGAGGGAACGTATCCTGTAACTTCTGGTTCCATCTTTTTCAATCACAAGCCATCTCTTTCCTCTTCCATTAGCAGATCCTTGAGAGTAACTTTTTGTTACAGTACTAAAGTCTCCTACACAAGTGGAGTTATGGGATATAACCTTCCTTGTGGAGGAGGAACAGGAAATCAGAAGGGGCCATTTGCCAGAGTTCATGTCCATTTCCCTCTCAGACCTCTTGCCCAGCTTTGGAGCAAGGTCTGTGAAGAAGGCAAGAATCTGTAAAATCAAGACATTCTCATGTAGGAAAAAACATGGAATCAGAGCTCTGTGCCCTGGTGACCTATGTGGTAGAACCAATAACCCTGAGTCTAAGTACTTTGAAGAGAAGAGCAGGCCTCAAACACCTTTTAAGTACTTAGGAGAAACCATTGTCTGACTGCAGGTTTTGATTTTGTGTGTGTGTGTGTTTGTTTTTGTTTGTCGGTGCTGGGCAGTTGAACCCAGGGCCTAACACATGCTAGGCAAACATTACCACGGTGCTGCAACTCCATCCCTAACTGCAGACTTTGTAATAAGCTGAACACCAGAGAAACACTTGGCTGAAAAAGGATTTGAAAATAGCTAAGGAAGAGGATTTCCCCTGGCAAATTCCTTTCTGTTCTAATCATGAAGAAATACTCTTATCACCTTATAATATGCAACTGTGCTATTTTAAGGCTCTCGTGGTGCTTTTCTTTTAAAAGAAAACCTTAAGCAAAAAAGGGAAAGTGTAGCTTTAACTTACGATTCAAAGATATGAGTCAGAATGACTTTTCTATAGAAAGGGATTTTGCTAGATGGGAAGCATTTACACATATATCTAAATATACCTCAGAAGCCAGGCTGGACTTTAGGGTTGGTTGTAATACCAGCCATGGCCACCAGATGGAGGAAAAGACATGTCAGTAAACTAGTCTGAGCATCCACTTCAGCACCTGCTCTGCTGTCAGCCAGCCCTGAGCCCCACCCATCCCTCCAGGTCTCTTTTATGCCATGGAAATGAATCTTCCTTCAAAATGCAGCATTCAACCTCAAGTGTATAGTCTACAACCTTTCTATGTAAGAACAATTCTCTCTTGCCCTCTGGCTGAGCAACCGTTTTCAAAAGTCTCCCTTTCCTTACTTACCAATAGTAAACATTCAAGCAGAGAATTTCCTGAGAATCCCTAGAAAATGGACTCGCTATTTTCTTAACCAGGGAAATATTCTCCATTTGTTCTGCCACATAGACGAATCAAATAGCCCTTCAACAATGGTCTGAGGGAAAGAAAATGGCCCTGTGTCCTCAGTCCCCTCCATGTTCACAGACATCATACTTAAGCATGAGAGGGAGTATGGGTATGGGTCTCCCGCCCATTTCTCAAGCCAGCTTTGCCATCCTGTGTCTTGGCTTGACCCCTCTCTGAGGATGACCTGCTCTTCTCCTACTTTCTTTCTTCTCCTACTACGCTCAGCTAGCAATCTGTTGGGGCTCTGTTTGACAGGGCCATGAGCTTAGGCATTTGGGGAGGTCTCTGTAGAACTATTGAATCAACCATTCCAGTAGAGATATTTCTTTTACTTCTAGGTTCTCTAAAGCCAGTGGGATGATTCATCCCTCAAATGGCTTTGTTCCAAAGTTCAATCATCTTTCAGTCTTTTTCTTCTTGACCATTCTGACAGTCATTTTGAATCCTAAGCCTGGACTCCATTTTGCTCACCATGAGAAGTCCCTTCCTACAAGTGGATGGTTCCCAATCTTGGTTCTTGCCCCAACACCCCAGGCCCTTCCCCCATGAATACACCCCAGCTTGAGTCCCAGATGCACTTCTGGCTGGCCCAGGCCATCCTGGGCAGCCCGGATTCCTTGTAATTCCCCCTTTGCGACATGGTGTGTGGGTGTTCAGTTCTGTGACTGGTGGATATGGACAGACAGTAAACCGCCCTGTGATCTGTGCTAGCTGTGAGGTAGCTCTGTCTGAAGAGCTGTTTGGTTTGAACCGTGAAGAAAACTGTGTATTGAGTTAGCTGAACTTAAAGAAAAAAAGTTCATCAAGTGACTGTTAATGTAAACCTGGTTATTAAAATGACTATAAAATTACCAACACGGTTCTTTTGTCTTCTGTATCTGATGCAAATCTCCTACTCTATTAATAATGCAGCCTGGGACTCAAATGTTTACTACACATGACAGATATGATGAGGATGGTAATCTGTAGAAAATTTCCTTTGTGGGTTTCTCCTATTTTTCTTTAATGCTGGTATTGGGGGTGGAACTCAGTGCCTCAAACTCTTGGTTGGCTTTTTTACTCAATGCTTTTTGTCCTTCTACTCCTTGAACCACACCTCCATTTCTAGCTTTTTTATTAATTAGGGCTGAAAGTGTCCCAGATCTGTGTTCCTAGGCTGGCTTTGAACCACAACTTTCACATCTCAGCTTCTTGAGTAAGTAGGATTATATTTGTGAACCACCAGTGCCTAGCTGGTATTTTCTTTCATGGACATTAAATGGTTAATTTGACCATTATTAAAACTTTGGGGAATAAATAAGATTTTCCTGGGAACTGTCAAATTTAGTATTAGTATAGGAAGCATTCATATTTGGAATAAAGCCTGCTGAATGCAAGACAGAATCTAAAAGGTCTTTGCTTTGGTTTAGTTTAGTTTGGTGTTTGAGGTATTGGCTGAAAGAAAGTCCTGCTAATTGGGTTGTTTTGTAAGAATGATCTATAACTTTTCTAAAAGTCTGCACTTGGAGGAAAAACTACAACTGTGTATGGAACAGCTTTAGCACCAATCTCAAGATGGACAACATTTTTTTTGGAAGGATTACTTGCTATGGCTACTTCTTTGAGAGTTTTTAAGTACATACATACCAGCAAGTTTGAAGGCTCTGGGGCTGTAATAAAGAAGTCTTTAAAACTGTCTCCAGGGCTGGGGGATGTAGTTCAATGGCAGAGTACTTGTCATCTAGGTACAAGGTCATGGATTTGATCTCTTCAACATTACAAAGGAAAAAAGAAAAGAAAAGCTGGGCGATGGTGGCTCATGCCTGTAATCCTAGCTACTCTGGAGGCTGAGATAATTGAGGACTGTAGTTAAAAACCAGCCTAGGCAGAAAGTCTGTGAGACTCCTATCTCAAATTAACCACCAGAAGTGGAGCTGTGGCTCAAAGTGGTAGAGTGCTCACTTTTAGCAAAAGAGCTCAGAGACAGTGTCTGGGCCCTGAGTTCAAGCTCCATGACCAACCGGTGGGGGAGAGGAGGGGGCGGGGGAAGGGGAAGGGAGTGCGGGGAGGAGTTAGAGGAGAAGCATGTTCAGTTGTGTAAGTGTGAAATCTTCAAATCTAGTGGAACTGAAAAGCTGAAGGCAAATTAACCCGGGGCCTCACCTGTGCTAGGGCACTGGCTTGGGCAAGGCTGGATCCTGGCTGCATGGTCCAGTTGATCACGGACACCAGGGGGCAGAATGCTGCTTTCCCTCCCAGCTCTGTCTGCATGCTTCCTTCTTGGGGAAGTGCTTTCTACATTAGGGCTAAAATTTCCATGAGATCTCCAGGTTCTGATCTCAATCTGTTGAGTAATCCTAGAACAATGCCTTCCATCCTTCCAGCTGGAGAAATTCACCTGGGTGACTCAGCTCTGAGTCATAGGTTCATCATGAAGAGGTCACTGTGGCCAGGAGAGAGCATGGGCGAATCACTCACCCACACGTGTCACATACATGGATCTTTGTGAACTCAGTTACCCCACCAAGAAAATGAATAAGTGATTCCAGAAGAAGGGATGGATGCTGGAAAAGTCAGACATAGCACCAGCTCTACACTGTCTCAAACCAGTAAGACTTACATCCTCAGCCAAATGGCAGGAATATGGATGACCGCACAGGTGGAGAAAGTAGCAGAGACCCTAGGAGAGAAAATTCTAATGAATTGCTTTGATAGGTGATGAGTTCTTCTTGGGCTGGTAGCATTAATGCCTTTGATGCAGGAGAGCACAGTGCTCAAAAATGATCAAAAGCTGCTCTGAGCACAATAGAGAATTATTATACAGTAGAGGGTCAATGTTTGATGTTTAATAAGCCTCAGTCTGTAGGCTTACATTGTGACTCAAGCTCAGAACTGGTGAAACACCTCTAGCTCCATGTGAGCAAGGAACAATTGAGCTTTGTTAAGGATCTGCGTAGGTATGAGGGCATTGTGAATGTGCCAGCAAACTCAGGACACAGCACTGTGGTGAAGTTTATCTTACACCACCATTATCTTAATGTTAGTGAAAGCTACAGGGACCAAGTTTCACACTTCTGGAGGCTGCAGGTAGTGCTGGCTGAATCACATCCTACCAGATAGAACATGGATGGGGAACATAGAACAGGGCTCACAATGGAGTGCTGGTCCCAAAGAAGTTTCTGGAGTCAACTCTTGCCACTAATCGGTCACAAAGGGGCACTGACCATGAGCCAGAGATGGAGGATAAAGGAACCAGAGCAACTGGTAGAAAAGAGATCACATCCTTAAGGCTGGCCTTCTTCAAGGCCAGTGTTCTAGACCCTACTTTGTGTTCTACTAATGCTGGGAACCACAAAACAGAATGCTGAAATGACTGGCAGGAGCCAGTGAGCATCACAAGGGCCCACTACTCCATGCCAGGCTCAGGGCACTCAGGACTTGCTAGCAGCTGAACTATAGTGTGTCTGAGAGATGACTGAAAGCCCATACTATGCTTTCCTACAGCAGAAGCTGCCTCTAGCTGCAAGAGTTGAGGTGTCTGTCCCAGATTATGGGGCCTTGGAACATCAACCTACCACACTAGGGTATGGAATGGAACGAGACTTGCAGAGGGGGGTAAGAGGCAAAGTGCTGGGGAAAAACCAACCAACCATGATGTATGAGTTATCTATGAACTTGAGATCGCTAGTGAAAAAGTAGAAACGGGCATTCTGGCTGTGGATGCTGGATGTCAGGTAGTCGAGGTTTTCTATGTGCAGATCAGTTAAAATGGGCTGCATTGTATACATATGACACATCATTAGCACCAGCCCCCAGCTACTCTCTGCTTAAGGGGAGTCTTTCTCAACAGGAAGTGGAGGCAAAAACAGATGACTTTGGACAACCTCAATATTACCTCTATGGAGAAACACAGAACATACAGGGAGAGGAAGGGAAGGGAAGGAGGGGAAGAGACAAACATACAGAGATCACACTGCCAAGGAAAGCGATGGGATAACTGTTAAAAAGACATTTTAATACATGCAGGTAGGCACACTTCTATCAGCTACAGCTGGACATAGCACACGTGTGTCATCAACGGCTACCAGATCTGTTGTCTGTTCAAAATAGCACAGAAAACCGAAGCCTGGGCTTTGACAGCAATGTTTAATATCAGTGAGGCTCATGGAGCTGGTTGCGCACAATCATCTCATGGACAGAAGTAGGAAACAAGACGTTTGTTGACAAAATTCGGGGACACCTGGGTTCTGAAGCAAACTCCCAATGCATGGCCTTTGTGTTCCACTTTGGAAGCATTAAGGACTTAGCTTCACAGCATCAACTGCAAGCATCAACACTGGTCCATTCACAGATACATCCATTCTCCTCCTTCCTAGTTGTGCACCCTCCATCTGACCTAGGGAAGCTATAATGGTTGAAAGACTAGCCATTTCTCTTTCCTATCATATAAAGATGGTTCTAATTCATTTAGCAATGCTTTGCTGTCCTGGCCCTAGTAATGACTTCAGCCAAAACAAGTACAGCCACAGCCCATGTGCAGGCCATTACCACAGCCTTTCCTCCCATGGAGTTAGGGATCAGAGCCAGAGCTGTGGGCAGGACTGCTTCACCCCTCCACCTGAGGTCACCTGGAGCCGGTGGCCCTGCTGAAATGTGCTCTCATGGATGTTCTGATCTTCAAGGCCTGCCTCTGACCTCTCAGATGCTCTGCGCAGGTACAGGAGGAAATGGTCAGGAGAAAAAGTTTCCAGGAATGTCATAAGCAAAGGGTGCAGCAGACATCATTTTCTGAAATTCCCAACATTACCTCTTGACACATACCTTGATAGGACACAGTCAATCCAGTGACCTCATAACTTTCAGCCCCTGGTTATGGAATTCAACCAAAGAATCTGATTCCAGCAACTAACTATCACCATAAGGATTTGGGGAAGAATTTTTGTTTGCTTTGGGAATTGTTTTTTCCTTCAGCTTGAAAACACACAGAGATGGGGATGTGCTAAGAATCATTCTGTACTGCAACATGTATTGTATTTCTTTACTCCTGGTGCTAGGAATCTAACTCAGAGCTTCATGCATGCTAAGCAGACATGCTATTGCTAGGCTAAGACCCAGCCCAATGTTTTCTCTTTTTATTCAGCAACTTATCCCACTGGTACTTATTGCGTCAGCTTATGCTACTGGAAATCTATGAGACTTCTCACACTGCTTTGTAATGAATGCATCCATGGCTTTGGAAGTCAGTGGTAGTTGGCTGAAAGTCCACATTTATTCTGGCACAGATATCAGCTCATGAGGAATACAAGTGAGGGATTGAAACTACAAAGATGGATGGGTTTCCATCCCATCTTAAGTTGTAGACATGAACCACGCCCTGGGAATCCCTCTCAGTTTCCCTGGGCCTACATCCTTTGACTTCCATTTCCAAAAGCTGCTCCCCAGGGAGGATGCAAGCAAACAAGTCCTAGGCAAGAGAAGGACCCAGGTGATCTGGGAGGTGTGGACACAGCACAAGCGCACTTGAGTAAAGACAAACAGAAGGTGGAAGCTGGTAAAGGCAAATGTTCCGGACACTGGAGGGGGTGAATCGGGTCACCAGTATACTGCTGTGCTCTCTGTGGCCTCTTTCCCTCTGAAAGTCACAGTGAGTTTACAGAGTTTGGAGGGGGAAAATATGGTAGAAAAATAACTTGTGAGAACTGTAGGGAATTGAATTAAACAGATGAAAGAGATGTCTTGTGACTCTTTAACAAAATTATGGCTGCTCTTAGAACAGTAGCATTTCACAGCCATGCCAGAAACCTGGACCTATTAACTGAATGACTTAACTACATGCTTAGCATGACTTCCCTCAGAAAGTAAGTTGGCCATG